CAGGGGTGCCACGTGACCCGGGCGGGCCGCCTGTGGGGCCGGCGCGGGGGGTCACTCGGGCCACCCGCGGAGGAGCGAGGAGAGGGCCAGGGCGGCTGGGGGCACGGACTTCACCCGTCCATCCCTCTGTCCATACGCAGCCCCAGCGCCCCGCGATCCCTCCCCTCCGGGCTTCGTGGCTGGCTGCGCGATCTGAGGCTGAGGCCACGACCCGGCCCGGCCACGCCTGCGGCTGTGGACCCGCGAGGCTGGGGGGGGGGGGTTGTCGCTTTCCGCACTCCCACAGGAGCTCAGGATCTGCTCAATTGTGCGGACCGCCGGCCTGGCTCGGGCAGTGTAGCGCCCACCGGGCACACTGGCTGGGTATACCACTGGCCAGCCTGTGCTCTCGTCCCTGGGAGCCTCACAGTGTCCCCGGAGCACCAGTCCCAACGGGGCCCCGCGGGCCATGGGGCCAGCCCCAGAGGGCCTTGGGGCCCTGAAACTCCCAGCGCCCAGCCGATGGTAAGGCCGTCAGGGAGGTAAGACCCTCAGGGACTCGGGCAGCGTCTCTGCCAGGGGCAGGAGATGGCCAAAGCGAGGCCCGGCGTGCAGGGCATCCCCCCCACCCACGGTGGCTTGGGTCTCCTGGCGGCACCATTAGGTCCCAGATGGATATCACAGTGCCCAGAAGACCAGAGCGGCCCTGGGCATCGCCCCAGCTCAGGTGGGCTCAGGGGGTGGGGGAAGGCTGGGCTGTCTCTTGGGATTAAGGGTGGGGGTGGAGTCTGGCTGGAAGCCGGGAAGGACTGGGGGGCAGGCACAACCCCCACTTGTACTCTAGGCCTGGTGGCTTCACCAAGAGATCAAGACTGCGAGGAGACAGGCTGGGGTGCAGGAATCTGCCCCCTCCAGCCCTTGCCCTTCACCCTTCAACCCCGCCCCACACACCTCCCCCAACTCCACTCCTCTAGTTCTACTACACGCAGAACACTGTTGCAGGCTTTGTCTGTGTGGGGAGCTTCCTCACCTTTGAAGGGACCCCAAGAACTCCAGGCCCTGCAGCTAGAGAGCTCTGTGTTCCCATCCCAGAGTCACAGCTGTGCTGCTTTGCTGTGCTGAATTCTGGATCCTTAGCAAAAAGGGGAGCTGCTCCTGGGAGCTGGCATGAAGTAAAGAGGGGCAGGTGACTTGCTGGGGGCTGAGCACCCCACAAAGAAAGTTCTGGAGGAAAAGGATAGACATGGAAAACCTGGGCTCCTGCTCCCACGCTGCAGAAGGACTTGGAGTTTTTGCTTGGAATACAATCTGTGAAGACCAGAAGTAGAAAGGAGCATATTTACCTGGAGAGCTCACCTTTTAGTTCCCACACTAACCTCTCTAGGGAGCAGATACTGTTAATACTTCTGCTTAGGAAGGAGGGCTTCTAGGAGTGGGGACCAGGATCAACGGGGGAGGGGCGCACCTGGCCTGACACTGGCTGTGATAGTATCTGATGCCTTAACTGGACCCTTCTTGATTCACACCCCAAAGCCCAGGTCTCAGCACTGTGACGTGGGCTCCCGGCCCCTCAGGAGGGAGCAGGCTCCATGTCAGGCGCCTGGCCCGGCAGCCCGGCTCCATTTCCTGCTGTCCAAGTGGTGACGCCCTGCTCTTCCAGACCCTCCCGGCTCGGCTGTCTGGCTGCGGGGGGTCTGGCAGTGGGACACTAGCGCCTGCCCCCACAGTGACGTTGGGGAGGAATTAGTGGGACCAGGGACCAGGAACGCCTGGCCTGGCCTGGGTGGAGGGCTGGCACTCGGCACACCTTGGTGAGGCCTCCCTCCAGCAGGTGGATGGAGGGGAGCCCTGGAGCCAGGGCCACACTGCTGTGAGCAGAGGGACAGGAGGGGCTTTTGCCTGGCCCATCATGACCTCACACTGCCCCCTGTCATGACGTCACACTGCCCCACCTCCCAGCCCATCAGGATGTCACACTGCCCCTGTCATGACGCCACACTGCCCCTGTCATGACGTCACACTGCCCCCCAACTGTCATGACGCCACGCTGCCCCTGTCATGATGTCACACTGCCCGTCACGATGTCACACTGCCCCTGTCATGACGTCACACTGCCCCCCAACTGTCATGACGTCACACTGCCCTGTCATGACTTCACACTGCCCCCCAACTGTCATGATGCCACGCTGCCCCTGTCACGATGTCACACTGCCCCTGTCATGATGTCACACTGCCCCTGTCATGACGTCACACTGCCCCTGTCATGACGTCACACTGCCCCTGTCATGACGTCACACTGCCCCTGTCATGACGTCACACTGCCCCCAACTGTCATGACGTCACACTGCCCCTGTCACGATGTCACACTGCCCCTGTCGTGACATCACACTGCCCCTGTCACGATGTCACACTGCCCCCTGTCATGACGTCACACTGCCCCACCTCCCAGCCCATCAGGATGTCACACTGCCCCTGTCATGACGTCACGCTGCCCCCCAACTGTCATGACGCCACGCTGCCCCTGTCATGACGTCACACTGCCCCTGTCATGATGTCACACTGCCCCCCAACTGTCATGACGTCACACTGCCCCTGTCATGACGCCACACTGCCCCTGTCACGACGTCACACTGCCCCCAACTGTCATGACGTCACACTGCCCCTGTCATGACGCCACACTGCCCCTGTCATGACGTCACACTGCCCCCGCCTGTCATGACGTCACACTGCCCCTGTCACAATGTCACACTGCCCCTGTCATGATGTCACACTGCCCCCACCTGTCATGACGTCACACTGCCCCTGTCATGACGTCACACTGCCCCTGTCACGATGTCACACTGCCCCCACCTGTCATGACGTCACACTGCCCCACCTTCCAGCCCATCAGGATGTCACACTGCCCCTGTCATGACGTCACACTGCCCC